AACTCTTATTCTGGAACTGACTTCCCAAATGAAACTTCGTCAGAGCCATTCTTTACTATTTTTGGAGGTACTGTTTCGGGCACATCATTTCCTCTCTTCCTACCATGACGTACCTGAGATTCTATCCATATCATATCCGGTTCCCCCATTTTCTATGGACGAGTCTCACCTCCTTGATACCATTTTCTCAGAAGATTTTCGCACGAATTCTCCGATACAGCTATGTCGTCTAACTTTAAAGACCCCCATATGGTTTGTCCACTCTGTAAATATTGACATATACTATAGATTAGATACATACTACACTCTTTCTTACCTCGTATCTCTTTAATGCAGAGGATGTTAACAAACTTTTGATTGGCAAGCCACTCCAATCATCATACTGCATTCCTAGTAGAATGGCTAACTCTGTTGATTTATATTTCTGAACATAAACATATACCCCTTGTCACTAAACAGATGAAGTAAAATGAACTAAACCTTGAATTCCACACTGGAGCCATTTCTAAGGGAAATATAACACCCTTTGATTAGAATCTCAGGTGAAATCAGACCATGTTCATCACAGTAAGTGCGAATTTTTTTCCGCAAGTACAAATAAACTACTTCTAATATAGTTCGTTAGGCAACTTAATCACTAACATTATTACCTTGAATTTTCTTGATCACTAACTTTTACTGTCTGCCCACGGAACAAATTTACCATTGGTACCATTCTCTTTGTTATAATCTGCCATATTTTTTTCCTTTATCAAGGAAAAACTGCCAAAACGGGAAAGACATCTCAGCCTTAATAAATCTGTTTTCGCAATACGCAGTAAGTTATTACACTTGAGTTACATAATGCCTTTGTTCATGCTTTCACTGTTCCCACCTATAAACTGCAAACATGACAAAGGTTTGGGATCTTCATTGTTTTCGTACCTAGAATAATACATCTGTGTTCTAAACGTAACTTCTAGGAATTATCTTGAAAAGTTCTAGTAACCCCACTTCATGATTTTCACCTAAGAAGAATTCCTTAACGGCCCCTAAGGAGAACCTTCCTTGTTCGGAATAGAGAGTATTCTAACCTATTTTGACACCACACATCGATTCACCTCCTCTTGATGGTTTTCCATACGGGATTTCTGATCAATTTTCGAGTAATCGAAACCGATGAACTGAATAAGTGTTCTTATTTTTACATGTACTACACTCTACTCATAGATCTTTAACCCCACACAAGTCATTCGTACTATTTTATGTCATAGCAGAATCTAGCTTACTATCAAATCCCATTTCCTACCTACCATAGATAACTTTCACCTTTCAAAGCAAAAAGTCAAAACATAGTTGGTAAATAATAACACTCACATTGCTCAGATTGATAACATAAAACGATGAGAATTGATGACGGTGACCTGAAAATACACATTATAAGATTCATGTCGCATATAAATATGATGTATAGTTGGTTTTATATTCTAACTACAGTCGATCCTCCTTTGGATGAACTTTTCAGCAGCTGGAACAATAAAATAATTTTGAAAAACCACACAGCAGGCAAGAGTCTTGACCAAACTAAGATATAAAAATCGCCCCATCACCCCATATATATAATTCGCTTCGTTTGTTTGTTTGTAAGTTTGTAAGTTTGTTTGTAAGTTTGTAAGTTTGTTTGTAAGTTTGTTTGTCTGTCCGGAAATTCGGTTCGACCTGAAGAACGACTTGGAGAGGTCGGGTCAAGGTGGGGATGGGTAGAGCATGGGACAAGAAATAAAAAGCACACTTGACCTATGCGAAGCCCCGCCCACAGTGGGCGGGGCACTCGCTGAAATTTTGGGGTTCCACAGAAGCAATGTTCATAATTTGCTTCAGGAGCAGCCTGAAGATGGAAGAAAAAGTTTAACCTCGGTTTAGCGAGGAGTTGGGACTATCTATGAGAGGCACCCTAAAAATGGGAGGGGCGTACTCAAGGTGTGGTACTTCTCATAAAACTCAGTAACCCGGTTCGCGAGAGTGTTTAGAAGTGTCAAAAAATTCAGTGCAGAACGCAAATATCTGGCGAGTGTTGGGCACGCTCAAAGTGTGTTGAGAGCAGCGCACAATAGGCGGAGCTCGCCCTAAATCGCAGGATACTTATTTCAAAAGTTTTTGTAGCTCGGTTCTAGAACGTTTCAGAAATCGGAAAACGAGGGTCAGGGTCAGCGAGAGATGGGCTGATTTGGGATTGCAAGGCACAAGCATAGTGGGCGGGGCCTGCTCCGAGGTGGGCGGAGCCAGACGAAAGATCTGCAAAATAGTTCCAGAACACTCCAGACACCGGAAAAAAAGTGGATCAAGGTCAGCAGAGGGTCGCCAGTGAAGATGTGGGGCACAAGTATTGTGGGCGGAGCCTGCTCCGAGGTGGGCGGAGCCAGACGAAAAATCTGTAAAATAGTTCCAGAGCACTTCTAAGACCGGAACAAATTGAGTTGGTCGCCCATTGAGAAATGTGGGGCATAAATGTTGTGGACGGGGCCAGCCCGAGGTGGGCGGAGCCAGACAAAAAATCTGCAAAACGGTTTCAGAGCGGTCCAGACACCGTCAACATGTAAGCAGAGATGTGCAGGACCTCAACTGTTGGATATATGGCAAGAGTTGAGTGTGTCTCGTGGTGTGTTGTAACCCGCTCCCAGTGGGCGGAGCGCACGACGTACTTATTCTTACTGAGTTTTAGCGCGTATTCTGCCATACTCTTAACCACCGGTCGTCATAGGTATTAGATTCCAGTCGGCTCGGCGGCTGATGCCAGCGCTCCTCCTCCTGTGATACGGCCCAAGTTGGCCGGACGGGCACGGCTTCGCCACACATTCCTTTCCCCAGCTATTCTCTCGCCTGTGCCCATACGCACTTTAGTACCACTCCATACTCAGTAATAGTCAAAATAGCAGGATGACAGCGCTCACTCCTGCACGCCCTTACCCCATCCGCCGGCCTACCCAAGAACAAAAGCTGATAATCAGTTGAAGTCTAGAAATACGTGGAAGAAGGTACGCGCGGCAAAGGCCGCGCCCGCCGTCACAGAAGGAGGGCGCCGGCGTAGCGGCGAGCCCGACTGTAAAATATATGTAAGTAAAAACAGTATTTGTGTGAACTAGCATACTATTCATAGTCATTTACCTCTACTTTCTAAGTACACCTGTTACAGGTGTATCTCAACACCTAATGGTTCAAACCACACAAAAAATACCAGTAGAGATATCCACGGAAAATTATTCCCACGGATTCTCATGAAAAGGTGTCTCTAAATTCTTTTTGACCTTCGTTCGAACCTCCTCCAGTATAAAAGCTCTCCTCTAAATGCGCGGCTTCAGGCTCAGAGAGTCAACAATGTCCTCTGCCTCTTCGCATTCATCCGAAGACCGCGAACCGCTCAACTCCAATGCTCCGTCGCTATACGACGAGAGCGGCCATGAAACATCTGACGACGACCGTGAATCTGTTCATTCTAAATGCTTCGTCGCTACACGACGAGAACCACCCCGAAACCCCCCCCCCCCCCCAGCCCCCAACCACGTGCCGGTGAGGTCGTGAAGCTCGACCCTGAACTCAATCCGACGTGGCTCGCGTGAGCGCCATTTTCCAACCGCGTCCCCAACCTACAAGGAAAGAATTCCTGTACGTAAAATAACTCCGATGGAACGCACGAAAAAAATTAATAAGAAAAAAAAAAAAAAAAAAAAAACACAAATGCGAGCAGGACGACGAGCTACTCCATTTATTGTACTTTAATTTACCCTGGCAGCGAGCCTACCAGTTCCATCATCAGATGCTAAGGTTCTATAGACCACAGTCTCCCCGCTCGTCTACTGCCTCCGACGAATCAGATGATTCATGGCCGGAACAAGAAGAAGGGGTTTACTCCTCGGACGAAAATGAGTAGAAGCGTCGAGTGATCTTTTTTCTCTTAGGACAAACGTCTAACTTTAACCCTTGTTGACTGCTATAATATGCATACAATATAATAGAAATCATACATTGGATATTGATTCGATTGATTCCATAAACATTGATTAGAATCATTGCTAATTAACACCATGCTTCTTCAGTTAATAATAAAATTGTAGTACACCAGTGCACATACACACAATAGAAATACGCCAACAGAGATATCAACGGAAAACTTTTCTCGCAGATTCTCATGGAAACGCTATCCCATCCTTTTAATCTTCGTCTGAATCTGCTACAATAATCAAAGACCCTCCCCCCTCTGCTTGCGCGGTTTTACTGCTAGAAAGTACCATGTCCTCGACATCATCATCTGAGGATCGCGACTCTGTCCACTCCCATGACCCATCGCTCTATGACGAGAACAGCAACGATACATCGGATAACGACCGGGACTCTATTATTTCTGACACCCACGAAGCGTCCCCCCGCCCCTCCCAGCGCCCCCCCCCCCGAGTCCCACGTCGCGAGGTAGTGGACCTCGAACCCTACGACTCCATCGTAAGATGGCGAGAAGACCCATATTTCCACCTACGGCCCGACCCCCAAGGAAGATTTCGGTCGCTAATAACCTGTTGGACCGCGCTGCCGGAGAAGAATCGCGAAACATTGAACTAAAACCCTATACTAAAAACGCATTGCAAACACAACATTTGAAATTACAAGCATTTCTTCTACACCACTCTCCATCCTTCATCAACGATTTATCAGCAATAACCAGACAACAGCGTATGTTCACACAGAAACCGAATTCAGCTACGCATGCAACGCTAACCCAAATAAACCACATAACGGACACCCACACTAATGATTGCATTATCAAAGATACCTGTAAATGCAATCCTGCTGAAGATTTCGTCACCTGCTATTGCACCAACAATAACGTTTCCCACATCACCCAACTTTCCAATACCCTTCCTCTTCCTATACCAAACGGTCTGGTATCCACTGAAGGCCTCAACAAAATACCTACCGTAAGGACAACCGCTATATCCGTTGACCTCATGCTTACACTAAACGCCAACATATCCAATATCAAGCAAGAAATACAAGATTTTCAGTGCCTTATTCTTCCACAAACATTTTCTCGAACCATGCTAACAAATGCGTGAAGGTTGCCTTAGCCACAATTCTTTGTAAATCTGACACTTCCCAGTCCATTGCACAAGTCAATTGTGGACAACAGACATTCACATTGACCTGCAGTCTATCGGGTACCTCCAACAATGTGCGTCTATTCTTTAAACAAAGGCCCGAAGTACATGCAACTTCAGTGCGGTACACACATCACAATATTTGAATTACAAGGCACTCTCAACTACATCAACGGCATACAGCCCTTGTGGAACTATATTCGCTTATGGAACAACGACACAGTTACTGACAATTCATCTATCAACTTCGAGCTGGCTCTGCCAGACTTTCTCCCACTTCCTCAACACTTTGGCCAACAAATTCCTCAGTCTACTCAGTGGACAATCTTCTTCTTCCGACCAGCGCTTTAATGGTTGCTACGTCATAGCCTCCTTTGCTCAAGACCACTCAAAGAAAATCGAGAGGATCTCGCACATGATCTGCAGTGGCATATTTTCCTTCCCTTCAACAGCCCCCCCGTCAATTCTTTTCAATATTTCATTCACAGTCTTCAAGCAACTCCTTTCTTTCGCAACACGACTTCTTCGTCTACCACTACGACTTCTCGGCTCTTCACGTCTGTTTAAACAGTGATCTACCGCGTCGCCACCTACAACACCATCAGCGTTCTGCATTTCGGCAGTCCACAGTCAACGCCATCGGCTAGCAACGTCATCAATCCGCTACGGCAGCATCAATTTTTTTTTCTTTTTCCTCCTTCTCGTATTATAGGTTCTGTTGTATTACTGCACTACTCCATACTATTATTACTGTACTACTTTATACTCTTATTACTGTATTATTCTATACTGTATTACTGTAGGATGTGACTCCGGACACCACCACCACAAAAAAAACCAAAAACCCATAAAATGCAACAAAAATACAATTATACAAATGCGATTCTTCGGCGGCGGGGAGGATGCAAACGGCATTTTATGTACTTGCAATTTCTTAAACTTCTCTCGTCGTGCGGAGTGTCATGACCCTTGGTCATGATGACTAGGATGCACGGGTCGCAAATGCACACTTTCTAGAAAGTTCGCTCGCCGCCTACAACCAACCAATAGGAGGCCTCGGCACCGCCCACCTCAGCCAGTATTTATACCGCCCATAATCAGGGCTATAAAGGTAGCGCGCTGAGTGCCGCCAGTCGTTCGTTAGTTTCCTTCTTCGCAGCGGTTCCTCT